GCATCTCCTATCATTTTGCATAGTCACGAACATTTTCAGGTCTTTATAGTTCATTCTGTGCTGCTTGCTTGAGGTGCTTTCTAGATACAGAAGCGGAGATCACTCTTTTGTTTATCGGTGAATTTCTGTTCCTTTGATTTTAGGCTGTGGCCGGGGCTGGGAAGAGGGGGAGGTAAGAATGGGCTTTGCTCAGAGATAGAACTAATGTGGCCTGAACTGAGTACTTTTGAATACAAGGTCTTGAAAACACTGAAATCTAGACTGAAATTCTCCCAGATACCTTACTGGTACTGCTGGGCAGAACTTTCAGATCCAACCAAACAATGCCAATTAGAAGCAAACAACATGCATACTGATGACAACGCAGGAGCCAAAATTATGCCTCCCCTGCTGCAAAAGCCCATCCCAGAATGAGGACACGGACAGCTGGAATATGTTCTTATACATACCACTTTCTCCCCCTCTGACCTAGTAATATGGAAGGATGTCCAGGTGGATGAAACACAACAGCAAGTTACGGTAAACTAAAGCAATGGTGTGCAAAGACCAGGGGGAAATGAAAATATGACTGATGGGAAGAAGTACCAAGAGTCAGAATGTGGACTTCCATGATCAAGAACTGCTCAAGAATAGCTATAATTTATATTGAATGTCATGTGTACCCCAAATTATTTGTGTTGTAACTGAGAAACACATGAAAGAGCATGAACAATAGGGGGCAGCCATGGCTAGGAGGGCTTCTGATCAACTCTATGTTGTGTACCAGTTATGCCCTTTTCTGGATAGGGAGAATCTCTGCTCGGTCACTCAGGCCCTGGTCATCTCCCATTTGGATTACTACAATGTTGTCTATCCTTGAAAAGTATCCAAAAGCTTCAGCGGCTGCAAAGTGCAGCCACATGAGCTATACTGAGTGCCCTGCTCCACGAACTGCGTTGGATGCCAATTTGCTTTGATGTCCAATTCAAGGTGCTGGTTGTGACAATCTATAAAAGCCTACATGGCATGGGGTCAGGCCACCTGTGAAACCAGCTTGGCCCTATCACATTGGCCTGTCCCACCTGGTCAGGCAGGAAAGGTATGTGGCAGATTCCATCAGTTAAAGAACTCTGTCTGGTTGGGTCCAAGGAGAGAGCCTTCTTTGTCACTGCCCCCACTCTATGGAATATTCTCCTTCCAGATGTGAGGCAGGTTCCCCACCCTCCTGTCCTTCGAAAAAGAAGTTAAAACATAGCTCTGCAGGGGGACCCCAAAGGAGCACACAGTAGTGGAGTTGGTTGGTGCCACAAGAGCCTTCCCTTTGCTTTTGTGAAATAATTTTTAATAAGGTTTAATTATTCTTGCCTCCTTAATTTTTTAAATATTTTTTTAAAAAAATTAATTATAAATTTTAACTCTAACATTTTAATTTTTATATACAGTTTTTATATTTTGATGTTTTATTATATAACACACAGAGTCTCTCTTTGGGGGAGATGGCTGGTTCAGAAATGTTAAATCTATATAAATAAAAATGTAAATGTTCGTTTGTTCAAAATCTTAAATCTCCGAAAGTTCTTCACCGACTGCTTTGAAATTTTGACACAACGTTGCATTCGAATACGCGCGTGTTTTTATATACCTATATTGTATAGATGTCACACCTGTGACAGGTAAAAACATGCTGTTTTTGAAAAACAGCGCCATCTGTTGGACGTAAAAGCAACACACGCTTTTACCAGACTGAGCCACAGCAACGCATGGCTGGGTACAGCTATATTAAATAAATAAACAAACAAACTTTATTCCAGATTTGATAGAATAAACCTATGCGATTGTTGTACTACACATTCTTGTTTTCTGTAGAGTATGCCCACTGGCGACCAAGATCTTGAACAGAGGAAATAATTTTTCTCTAATTCCCCTTTCCCTCTTTTTAAGCTATGGGTATCTCCATATAGCTATCATTTTCAGTTCTTAAACACTCAGAATAATATTTAAGTGTCCTGTAATTGTTATCATCACCAGCCTTATCCAAACAGTGGGCTCTTCCTCACTATTACATCAATAGCATTCCTGGTATGCATGACTGACAGGTATCGGAGAAAATTGACTTGGCCCATTATTAGGTGATCTCTCTTGCCTTCAACCTGTCTAACCTCACTCGATCCCCACCACATGGGTACCTATTAGTTGTTTGTGCAATGTAGCAAAAATAGTGGATCAATCAGGCAGCAACTGGCTGTGACTAGCAGCATCCAAGGCACCCCAGCAAGGGACAAAATGGTGCAGGAATGGGCAAAAGTCACAATGGAAAGTTCAGCTCCATAAACTCGACAAAAGCAAGACAAAAGTTATTACACATTCACTGAGGACAGAACTGTGCTTCTTAAGACTGCTAAACGTGAATTCAAAACAGGTTCTCGCAAAATGCAATAAGAAGCCTCTATAATGCCTGGATGTGGGGTTTTTTTTTGTGAGTGTTGGTGAGACGTTATGTGGACAGATCCCTCTGCAGGAGGCAGGGGCTCATGGGACCAAGGTAAAATGATCATAGAAGGGACTACACAGTCATCAGAAGAGGATCCTACAGTGGCAAATGAGAGCTAAGAAGATCCCAGCCCCTAATCACGTCATCACTAACATTGTCAATTTGGCACTCTAAACATCTGCTGGAGAAGGAAGGAAGCTCTTCCTTAAAACTTGTACAGAGAAGATGGATCTAAGCTGACTCTACAAATGGCTAGATGATGTACAGGCCGATACATCTTCTGTGCAAGGCATTTCATGCATGCTTAGTGGAACATGAGGATGAGCACAATGAAAACTCTACAAGAGCTGTCTAGCATTATGTCCAGCTGATCAACAGCTGAAAAGCAAAAAATGGCATTCAACCAACTATAGTGTGTAATGATAGTGTGGCACTAAACCTTTATGAGCCCAGAGATCAGAAGATGAGGTAAGGCATTTTTTTTCTAATTAAAACTATTAACCCGAGGATAGATACCATCAAACTGCGTCTGGAGATACCTGTTTGACACCACCGCTGAGTTGGCCTTTAATTGGCTCAGCTGCCAAGAACAAGCAGAGAACAGGAGCGTGGAACTAATCCCAGAATGGCTGTCTGAAATGTCCTAAAAATCCCCAAAAGAGTGGCATTCTAGCTCTCATCATTTTGGTTGCACCTTTACTCCATCCTTTCCAGGCCTCAAGAGGGAGAAGATACCCTTCCTCTTCTTCTTCTTCTTCAGAATTTCAGGATTTGTTTTCAGGGTTGTGCTTAGGCCCTGGCCTATTAATTTATTATCAAACTATTAAAGGGCTCTTTTGCAAGTTAACCATGAAGTAGCTTCAACCAGACCTAGTCTATTTTAATCAGTTTGTCTATGCTTTTACTTGAGGTAGCCATTGTTAGACTCAGCAGTTAGCTAACACATAGACCAGAAGAAGCCAAAGAGGCTGACCACAAATGCTTCAGTTATAGAAGTATAATCTGGCTGGCCTTTTGTAGCTGTGCTAAAGAATTTTGCAAGTGGGTCTGTTACAACAAAGCAAGGTAATATTAAACTGTGGTCAAGAATTGGTCAAGAATATCCGGGCAAAGGTCCGGAGGTAAAAAGTTCATTATTAGCATATTAAAAAAACCAGAGGTTGAAAAGTTTAGCTAATTAAGTGTACTCCTTATGCTTATATGGGATAAATCAGGAACAAGTGATGGACAGGACATCAAACTTCTCTTTAATTTTGCCCAGAAATAAAGTGTTGAACTCCAGTTTCCTATCTCAGCCTGATTATTGAATCTGATTCAGAATCTGAATCAGAATCTCTGAATTCACTTTGAATCAGAATACAGCTGAAAGGGACTTTACTCTAGGAAGCCGAAGTTCTGTTGACAATACCAGTTTTTAAGCCAGTGGGTCGTTTCTAAAATCCTTTGCTCCCTCATTGGATGTTGTCCTGTTAGAAGTATAGATGAAAACACCACTTGTGCTCCTAATTCTTTAACTTTTTCCCTGGTTTGTAATCTCATTGTTTTCAAATTTATTGTGTCATTTGTCCCCACATGTAGGAGACTCGAATTGTGTTGCGTAAAAGAAATCCAAGTGTTGGGCTGACTAACAGGGCTTTGATGTTGGCCTCCTACTGTTCCTGGGTAAAGCCCTAAATCATATGGCTTTCCATAGTATTCATAACAAGTTAGCAGGGCCCTCTTTTGATTCTATGACCCTAGACCAGGGGTAGGCAACCTTGGCTCTTTTATGACTCGTGGACTTCAACTCCCAGAATTCCTGAGCCAGCCTAAAAGAGCCAAGGTTGCCTACCCCTGCCCTAGACTGTCTCTTTCCATCTAACCCACCCCTTCTTTATTTTACAACTCTCATCTTCCTATCAAACTATTTTTTTTCCTTCAAAACTTTACTTCTCTTTGCACGGTTTCCGTAATCCGAATTCGATTCAATGAAAGGGAGAAAGAGGAAAGTTCTTTTTCCCCCCAAATTTTTATTTTATTCAAAAAGATTAAAATACAAAAGAAAAAAAAATCCAACAAAAACAAAACAAAACAAAGCTAAACAGGATCGTTAAAATTAAAGCGAGAACGGAGGAAAGTTCGTCCCGAAGTGCTATGGAACAAACATATCGAAGCAAGCAGCGAACGGAGCTCCTGCTCAATACTGGGTGTTTTTGGTTTTTTTAGCCTTCACCTGCCGTTGCCTTGTGTTTATCCCCTCTGCTCCTTTCATAAGCGCGCGCTGCTTGTGTAAAAAGGCTGCTTCTTTTGGCAATTAGCTGCAGCCCGAAGATCTACGCACCGAACCGAGTTCACACTCAATTGCAGGTACAACCCGTAGCAAGCAGCCCATTCCGAGCCTACGCGGGCTCCGACATCCGGTCGCAGCGCCAACGCGGGAGCCCAGGAGGGCCTTGCTGCACGTGAGGGGTGTGTCCCCGCGGGCGGGCTGAGAGGTGGCGAGGTTCGAGGTCAGCTCCTCCCGCCTGAAGACGCGGAAGTGGCAGCCTCCGGCGGAGCAGCACCAGTACCAGCACCAGCACCCAAAGAGGGACTGGGTGGGACATGGCGCCGACCGGGCTGAAGGCGGTCGTTGGCGAGAGTGAGTGTGATCGGGCCGGTTGGGGCGCTTAACACCTGCGAATTCGTGGTTGTGAGGATGGTAGTTTTCTCGGGAGGTGGGCATGAGGAGCGCCTTCCGTTCCACGCCGCTTTCCCCGTGACTTTTCCCGGGGTTTATTTGTCCTACGCTTTTAGTAGCAACAGGGGCTTCTCTGATAGGAGCAGGTTTGGGGGGGGGGAAGGGGGCTGGTTGACCATCCAGGCGCCTCCTCCTTCCTGCTTCTCATGTCCCACCAGAGTCCGAATATGGAAATAGGACTTCCTCAACTCTGGTGATTGTTATTGCTTACATTTCTTCGTTCTTCCTGCTGCTGCTTAAATTCTTCACCTCCACGCACAACAGTTTATTCTGTTTTAAATAATCTGTTAACAGATTTGCATTTTTTTTCTTTTTTTTTTGATATGGGGAATATGAAAATAAGAGAATTGGTATGAATAAAACTCTTAGCCATAGAAATGTAATTAATATTGAGAATTTCATAACTGAGAAAGATATCATGGAGAAGAGCCCCCTCCTTATAAAGTCTTAATTTTTTCTTAATGTGTCCTTACTTTTTCCCCAGATAAGTAACACCAGATTTCATTGATGACATATTTTTTAGGGTATCATGCTGTTTTTTCCCCCTCTGTCCTAAATCAAACACCCTTATCTTTATATCAGTATGAATTATCCTCTGCACTCTTGTAGTAAACCCAAATTTTCATTCTCCTCCTTAAACTACCAGGTGCTATGGTTTTATTAAAAAGCACAGCATCGTAATGTTTGGGGATAGATCAAAAATTCACATTTTTCCTCACTAAATTTGAGTCATGCACAACATTAAGCCATGATATAAATAGTATTTATCGACTTAGCATGTTGTGGGGAACCACCCCTCATAACTTAGCATACTTGAATTAGGCTAGGGCATTGTGATTTGTTTGACAAACAGTAAGTTAAAAATGGGACTTAGAATGCAATTTTTCCAACTCAGGTTTAAAAGTAGAAGCTTGAACTGTTCCTCTTCTAGGTAAATTATTTGTATTCTCAAGGCGGCAAAAACATATCCAACACAACTTCCTTCTCCATTTCCCCCACAACAACAATAATCCTATGAGGTTGGGTTGAGAGAGGGAGTGACTCAAAGTCACCCAGTTGGCTTTCATGGCTAAGGTAGGACTTGCTTATAGCCTCCTGCTTCCTAGCCTGGTGCCTTAACCACTAGACCAAACTGGTTCTGTAGTTTTATAAGCTTATAAACATGTTTTTGTGCTTGGGAAATCATTTCTTAGTAAACTATTTCACAGTAAAACATTTAACTTCAATCTACCACTGATAGTGGCCTACAATTGTAGGTGCAGTTGTAGACCTCTATCAGCAGCATATACGGTTTTGAACCTTATTTACTTTACTTTGAACCTTATTTACTTAAAATAAATGCCCTTAAAACTTGTACATCTTTGTTGCCTTATGATGTTATTTAGCACTGCCTACTTGGTGCAGTCTCAAACCCTAAAACCTTTTGATTTCCTTTTTTTTTAGTTTTTATTGATTTTTTTAATACAATTCAGCAGTGCTTATTCAACAAACATGTTGTCTGAGTTTATCATTCACTAATACAAATTAAATTCCTAATCCCTAGTGCGTTTCTCCAACCATTGATAAAATAAGTCCCAAATTTGAAAATATTCTGTTTCTTCTTTTTCTTTCGATCTCAAAGTAAGTCTGTCCATTTCTGAGTCCAGTATTTTTTTAATTATTTCTTCCTCCGATGGTATTTCTTCATTTTTCCAATATTGTGCAAATATAAATCTTGTTGCTGTTATCACATGCAAAATCAAATATATACTTCGTTTATCAAGCTTTTCTGGCATTATACCTAATAAAAAAAGTTCAGGTTTAAAATCTACATGTTTCCCCAGCATCTTTTCTAGACAAGTATGTATTTTTGTCCAACATTTCTTTGCTTTAACACATGTCCACCACACATGATAATAAGTACCTGGTTTATGATTATATTTCCAACATTTATCCAATATATTTTTAAACATTTTTGCTAATCTTGCTGATGGCAAGTGGCATCTATAAAACATTTTGTATAAGTTTTCTTATAAGAGATTGAAATTGTCAACTTATAATTTCTTTCCCATAGGCTTTGCCATTTCTCTAAATCTATATTATATCCAAAATTCTTTGCCCATGTTATCATTATTTTTTTTACTTGTTCATCTTCCATTTTCAAATTTAATAGAAAATTATATATTTTCTTAATTAGTTTTTCATCAGAGGTTAATAATATCTGATCAAACAGAGTCTGCTCTTTATAAAATCCATACAATTTAACATCTTTATCATATTTCACTTGCATCTGTAAATGTGACCACCATGATAAATCAATACCCTGACTTTCCATCTCTTGTCTAGATTTTAATTTCCCTTCAGAATTTAGAATATGTTTATATGTCCATATTTTCTCAAGGCTAACTAGATTTGAGTGTACAAATGTTTCCATTGTTGAAAGCCATCCTGGAACTTTCAAATATATTTTGCATTTTATTTTTTTCCATGTTAGCAGTAATGCATTTCTAATATAGTGGTTTTGAAAATATTTATGAATTTTATTTTTCCCATATCATAAAAAAGCATGCCAACCAAGTTATAAGTCATGCCCCTCTAGATACAACAATCTTTTTTTGTCTGAGGGTTATCCATTCTTTTATCCATGTTAACACCGATGCTTGATAATATAAAACCCATCTGGCAAACCAAAACCTCTTGATTTCCATCTTCCTGATAAGACCCAGTACTTCTTGCCCTGCAATAAACCCCAAAATCTAGTAATGGTTTCAGTTTGCTCAATTTCCTTACTTGAATTAGGAAAAGTATTTCTTAAACCAACCTGGTATTTTCCAAATATACTGATCAAATATATAATTTTTGAGGGTTTTTTGAGATTGTTATTCCAACACATAGGGAGGGAACCAGGCTAGGGGAGACAGAATTAAAATACTGTATTAGGAATTGATTGGTGTTAAATTCTTATTCATGTTTTGATAATCTACTGGCTGATCTCATTTTAATGAGGATTTGTGACTCCTTCTAGTATAGTTGAAACAAGATGGCCTCCCCTTCATCACCATAAAATATCCAACTGATTACAGAAATAAAGGTTGGGATAAAAGAATAGAATGTCTGAATGTCATTTAATTCTGGTATTCAGAGTAATGCTTGCCCTCCAGAGTTTTTGAATTCTAGTACTCTAGTTACCTTCTATTATTTGATTCCAAAAAACCAAGAAAAGGTATATCAAATTTAATTTCTGCAGATAAAAAAAGGTTACATTCCATGGCCATACAGCATATTATACAGCTATTCAGTATGTTAATTGTAAATGTAACATGTCTGATAGAAAAAATAATAAACTTCTATTATTATTTTAAAATGCATATCCTGAAAATTCTGAGATTGTTTTTGAGACAGTAGAAAGACTAGTACATTACTGATATAGTAGACTTAAGGATAAAAAATATTCTAGCTCATGTATCATAAAGAGTTGGATTTTAATTGGTAGTAATTTCTAATCCAATCTAATTACTTTACAGTTATGGCCATTTAAAGATCAGGATCTTCAGTTAGGAAAAGAGGAATATTCCAATTTTGTTGTGGAAGTCCCAAACTTCCCAAACTAAAATCCAATGATACATGGACAATTGCATTGTTTGTTTACATTGTTTACAATCTTATGAGATGTGTAAACAATGATCTGATTTCCTTCAGGGATGAAATGAAATCACATTAGTTTAAATAAAATTGTTAAAAAAAATTGTGATTCTCCTATACACATTTTAAAACAATAGTTGAAAAAGTATATAAATGTACTTCTTTTGAGTGTGAAGACATTATTTCTAACGAGACTGAAATAAGGAGCTTTCTGATTAGCAATTATTAGGCATAGTAAGCATTTTTTTCATATTTCAGCCCTTCAAAAGGAGTGAGTCTTATATACTTTGAGAATAGAATTTATTTTCCTTTTTCTGTATCATGATCTGGTTCCTATGACTTGTGTTGTTAAGTACATAACATTTTAGTAAACATACTAGTTTCCTTTACACTTTGGTTCTTTCATCTGCCTATCATCATTTGATTGAAAAAGATTTGCACTAAAATTCCAGGATATTGACATATTTCCCCTTCAGTCACAAGTTGAACACACAGAAGGAAAATAACCTACTAATCCTCAGATCCAGGCATGTGAGGAGAATAATTTTGAAAAGTTGTTGGAGGAATTTATGTTTTGAAGTAAATATTGTAGCATTTTGTTTTTTTTATAATTTTATTGAACATTTGATTTAAAAGATAACTAATACAAAGTAAAAAGGAATGACAGAATAAATGTGGAAAAGAAAGAAAAAATATGCAGAAAGAAAAATAAAAATGAAAGAAAAATAAGAATATAGTAAAGAAAAAGAAAAAATATATGAATGATTTCCCCTTTCATAACATTTTTAGTAACTTATCACTTTCTCTTAAAATACAATAAATGATCTCTGCTTTTTATATCTCATTTTTATCTATAAGCAAATCTTTAAAACATCACTCAGTCCTAATCAGTGAAAATCCATTAAGAGTTACCAGGGTAGATATATCTATTTTAACCTTGATAGAATAAACTTATATTCCTTTCCTTTATTTTTAATCTTGATCCCTTCAACTACTGCCCTAGAATTTGATTTCTATTCTTTTTTTTGTCCTTTCTCATAAAAACCTTCAAAACTTTAAAATTCTTTCGTAAATCAAATATAGGAAAGTAAGCCATATTACTGTTTTGGTTTGTTATTTTTATATTCTTTTTAATTATTAAGACATCAGCCAATTTCACTTGTATATCCAGTATAGTATCTTTTTCTGTATCATTCTTGTAGACGTCATTTTTAAATCCATATTCAAATCAGACTCAGTCTTGTCTGGTAAAACCTGTTCCTCTTCCATTACATCTTTTA